GGGAAGCCGATGTTTTATTAAACACACTATCAAAGTGGGCTAAAGTCTCTTATTAATGTCCACAAATTCTGCCACTTCCAAATAGTTTCCACCTACATGTTCCTCCCACTGCTGCACTGGGTGCTGGCAAACATCTCTGCTCAAAGAGGGGAATGGCTTTCATTTGAATAGTCCCCGGGCGAGTTTCGCTGAGCGATGCCAGCGTCATTCCCTGTTCCCGCAGCTCTCACGTGCCCGGCAGCGCTCCAGGGTCGTGCCGGAGGGAGGGCACAGAGACAACAGCTCCTGCTGTGTTTTCCCAGTGCTTTATCCAGCCAGAGCCCATGGCAGCCTAAACCAATGCAATTAAGCAGCGATGGATGCGCATATTTGCAGTATTAAATCTCGACTTCTGACTCGTGACGGTTCCTGACGGTTCCGCGGCAGTGAGCGCGGCCAGCTGTGCTATCGAGAGTCACACACAGCTGAAACCGCCCGGCTTCACACCAAACCAGGCTTCTGCAACTCCCAGAAGGCTGAGGCAGAGCCTGGTGGGTGTCACACTGCTGCTCACACCCTGCGCTCTGAGGTCCCACGGTGTCCCTTGGGACCGGCCGTGGCTGAGGGGTGTGAGCTCTCCCACGCCTGCCTTGGACACTGCGGGTGGGAAAGGAGATGGGCAGCTCTCCTGGGAGCTCCTGGCTGGCTGCATCCCACACTGACAGCACTGTGCAGGACACAGACCCGTGGGGATGGAGGCCCACACTGTGCAGGACACAGACCCATGGGGATGGAGGCCCACACTGCCCACACTCTGCAGGACACAGACCCATGGGGATGGACCCCCACACTGCCCACACTGTGCAGGACACAGACCCGCGGGGATGGACCCCCACACTGCCCACACTGTGCAGGACACAGACCCACAGGGATGGAGGCCCACACTGCCCGCACTGTGCAGGACACAGACCTGCGGGGATGGAGGCCCACACTGCCCACACTGTGCAGGACACAGACCCGTGGGGATGGACCCCCACACTGCCCACACTGTGCAGGACACAGACCCCATGGGGATGGAGGCCCACACTGACAGCACTGTGCAGGACACAGACCCATGGGGATGGAGGCCCACACTGCCCACACTGTGCAGGACACAGAGCCATGGGGATGGACCCCCACACTGCCCACACTGTGCAGGACACAGAGCCATGGGGATGGACCCCCACACTGCCCACACTGTGCAGGACACAGACCCACGGGGATGGAGGCCCACACTGCCCACACTGTGCAGGACACAGACCCATGGGGATGGACCCCCACACTGCCCACACTGTGCAGGACACAGACCCGTGGGGATGGACCCCCACACTGCCCACACTGTGCAGGACACAGACCCATGGGGATGGACCCCCACACTGCCCGCACTGTGCAGGACACAGACCCACAGGGATGGAGGCCCGCACTGCCCACACTGTGCAGGACACAGACCCACAGGGATGGAGGCCCACACTGCCCACACTGTGCAGGACACAGACCTGCGGGGATGGAGGCCCACACTGCCCGCACTGTGCAGGACACAGACCCATGGGGATGGAGGCCCACACTGCCCACACTGTGCAGGACACAGACCTGCGGGGATGCAGCCGCTGTCCCCCGCCCGAGCCTCCCGCCCGTGCCGGGGGCGGGAGCAGCAGCTGCGGAGCCTCCGGGCTCGCAGCGGAGCCGTCACGTTTGCTGAGCACAGGAGAGAGCCCCGGCTCTGTCCCAGGCAGCCCGGCTCCCGCAGGAGCTCTCCCTGGTGCGGAAAGCACGGGCTGTTCCTGCCGCCGGCTCGGGCCGAGCGCATCCCGGCGCGTCCAGCCCCGGCAGGGCCGAGCTTTCACCTCCGGTGCCAGTAACCCGAGCCGGGATTGCTGGAAACGGGAGAGAGGGAGAGTCAGCGATTTGATTACAGGCCACGGGCACATGCCTGGCCTTCATGGATATATTAAGTAAGAGACATTTTAAAACAAAACCACCCTCAGTAACCTTATCGTAAGCTCGAATCCACAACCCATCTGTTAACTCCCGGCGCTGCCCACATAGGCTTCCATCAGACAGCAGTGCCAGGGATTTTTGGAACGTTTTCCCCCAAATCCCTGCGGTCGGAAGGGGACAGTCCCGGGGAAGGGGCAGATCCTGAGTCTCGGATTCCCAGCCCACCAAACCAGCCCCCAGACTCTCACCTTCTCGTGCCTCTGTGAATAACTGCAAATCCCCCTGGACACGAGCTGTCACCGTCCTGTGACTCCCAGCCCTGTGGAGGAGCGCTCAGGAGAGCCGCTGCTCCACGGATGGCTGCAGGGAATTCAGCCTTTTTAAACATTTTGTTACTGCCTGAGTCCTGTGGTGTAAGGGAGCCCTCCATGTAGAAATAATTCAGCAAACACACGCGAGAAGGCGAATTGATGATTGCATCAGTCCTTGCTCATGAAAGCTGATCCCCAGGAAAATGTAACTCAACTCTCGAGCAATCTCACTTGATGCCCAAGAATGCAATAACTTCATTTGGATCCTCCTTTTAGGGGGACTCCTAAATCCTTGGCAACGTCCCTTAAGGTCATGAGCAAATCCTGATATGGAGAATTGTTTGGCAAGCACGAGAACAGTAAAAGGGCTAAATAATTGGGGATTACCTCTGACCCTGATTTGTGGCTCACCACCCACTGCAGGAATGTACCGAATATCTGAAGGAGCATGCAGGAGTCAGACAATCCACGGGCATGAAGCTGTCCACGTACTCTTGGAGCCTGAACTTTAAATGCAGAGCAGGTTGGCCCCAAACCTCATTTTTCATTAGCAAAAGGCTGCAGCAAGCTCTAATTATTTCTGTTGCCTTGGACAAAGGGTCAGTGATGGGACAGATGAAAAATTGTCTGTGTTTTTTTCACCCTTTGTTTGGAAAATAACATCTTTGGTCTTGGGGGCACAGAGAGAAGGAACCGTCTGCTCCAGGGCTCCTTCCTGAGGCTGGTTACGGTCCCCTGAGCTGCAGCAGGGGACAAACACATCACCCCCACGTCTCCTGGTGGTTATTGCAGAGTCTGTTCAGTGCCTGCAGGAAGGAGCAGCTCTGCTGTGGGAGGGCACGGCTCGGAGCTGTGGGTCTGTGCTGCTCTGAGCTCCGTGCTCAGCCCCAACTCCTCTCCTCCACGGTGCACCAGGGCTGTGGCACACAGAGACCCTCGGGGTCCTGCCCAGAGCAGGGGGGTGGATTGAGACGTCTTTAAGGTCCCTCCCAACCCAAACCATTCTGGGATTCCACGATCCTGGCCATAATCACCAGGTTTGCAGGCTTGGATGTCAAACACTGAGAGGACCATGCTGAGTGGGACAAGCCAAGCATCTGTTTTGTGGGAGCCCCATGTCACTGATACAGTGCTGTGTGTTCACACTGGAGGGGATTTTGGGCTTTTATAGACCTTACATTTATAGCTAGCATCTTTCTGAGGCTCTGGCTTCCCTTGGGATTCTTCCTGGTAACAGCAGACACCTTTGGACGGGGGTAAGCCTTAACAGCCTGTCTCCATCACCCATGTAAAACCTCTCTGTGCTCTCATGTAGCACCTCCTGCCCTCGGATTCCTCCCGAGGTGGAGCAGCCAGGACTCTGCAGGAAATAGCAGCAGCTCAGTGCTGGAGCTCTGCTCTTCCCTTATCTCGGTAAATGCACCTTTTATCAGCTGAGCCTGTCTCTACTCGCTCAGCACTCAGCAGGGAAGTGACCACGGCCCTTCAGCAGAGCTCTGCCTTGGCAGGTACACACAAACCATTATCATTGCTCAGCGTTGTGCAACCGCTGGCGTCCACGGGCTGGCACGGGCATGGCATCTCATGGGAGGGTCTGGGCTGGAGGGGACCTTAAATTGTCATCATTCCACCCCTGCCATGAGCAGGGACACCTTCCACTTGACCGGGTTTTTCCATGCAACACTTCCAGGGATCCAGGGGCAGCCACAGCTTCCCGGGGAACCTGTGCCAGGGTCTCCCCACCCTCACAGGGGAGAATTTCTTGCTGATCATAGAATCCCAGAATGGTTTGGCTTGGAAGGGACATTAAAGCCCACCTCATTCCAACCCCCTGCCATGGGCAGGGCTGGATACCTTTCACTGGAGAAAGTTACTCCAAGCCCTGGATACCCCCAGCGATGGGGTCCTACCACCCCGAGAGTTCCCTGCAGCGCCACCACCTCCCCAGAGCCACATTTTATCGACTCTCACTTATTTTATTTTTCCCCTCCACATTTCCAAACTCCCATGGCTGCAGCTTTCTCTGAGTCCGTGCTTTGTGCCTGTGCTGCTTTGGGGGGGTGATTTTTTTTTTTCCCTCCAGGATCTCGGGACTCAGCAGCGGTACCGCACGGTATGGCAGGGCATGGTATGATACTGTGCAACATGGTATGGAACGGTATGGCACGGTATGGCACAGCACGGTATGACACTTTATGGCATGCTATGGCACAGCAAGGGACTGTATGGCACGGCACTGTATGGCACGGCACTGCATGGCACGGCACGGTATGACACCGCACGGCACGGTATGGCACAGCAAGGGGCTGTATGGCACGGCACGGTATGGCACGGCACGGCACGGTATGGCACAGCACTGTAGACACTTTCTGGCATGGGGTGGCACAGCAAGGCGCTGTATGGGACGGCACGGCACAGCACGGCCCGGCCCGGCCCCGCGGCGCCAGCCCCGGCCCCGCCGCGCCGGGACACACGTGCGGGGGGGCCCGGAGGCGCGGCCCCGCCTCCCCCCGCGCCGCCGCCACGTGAGGCTCATGTGACGGCGGGGCGGGGGCGCCGGGGCCGCCAGACGTGCCGGCGGTCACAGGGCTCCGCACGTCGCTCCCGTCCACCCACTCGCCCGCATTTAACCCGGCCCGCGGCCGCCCGCCGCTCCTCAGCCCGCGCGGCGCGGGCGCGGCATGAGCAGCGGCGGCGGCAGCGGCCCCGGTACCGGCACCGGCAGCGCCCGCAGCCCCTGCCCGCCCTGAGCGCCCCTGCCCGCCCGCGCCCCCCGCCATGGAGCGCATCCCCAGCGCGCAGCCCCCGCCCGGCTGCCTGGGCAAGCTGCCCGCCCTGGAGAGCGGAGACCTGCCCGGGTAAGCGGGGCTTCGGGGGCTCGGGGGGCTCCGGGGAGCGGCCCCGCCGGCTCCGGGACCGGGGTAACGCGCTGCTCTCCTCTCGCCCGTGCAGGCTGGACTTCGCGCACATGTACCAGGTGTACAAGCCCCGGAGGGGATTAAAGAGGAGCGAGGACAACAAGGTAAATGGGGGGTGACGGGATACAGCGAGGGGCGATAAGGTAATTGGGGTTAACGGGGTGAATGGGGGTTAACGGGGTGAGTCGGCCGGTGCGCGCCCGTGACAGCGCTCCCGGGGCGGGGGCTCGGCCGCTCCCGGCGCGCTCGGGTCGGGACGGGAGCAGCGGGGCCGGGCCGGGCTGGGCTGTCCCCCCGCTGACCCGCTGCCCCGGCCCCGCAGGAGACCTACAAGCTGCCGCACCGGCTGATCGAGAAGAAGAGGCGCGACAGGATCAACGAGTGCATCGCGCAGCTGAAGGACCTGCTGCCCGAGCACCTCAAGCTGACGGTAGGTGCGAGCGGAGGGACGGGGCTCCCCGCGGCCGGCGCTCTGATGCCGCTTCGCCGCCGATTTGGGATGGGTTTTTATTTTAATTTTTTTTCCGTGGCGCCGCACGCCCGGGCAGGCTGTAAGCGCGTCCCAAAGTTCCCCGGGCGCTGCGGGTCCCTGCGGGAGCTGCCCGCCGCACCGAGAGCCGTCCCCGGCCGGGCTCCCCGGTCACGGTGCCAGCAGGGGCAGCAGAACCGATGAATAAAACGCGTCTCTCCGGGCTATGCGGCTGGTCCCAAGTACCCCCAGGGTTCCCTGAGAGCCTTTTCCGCAGCCTGCTTTTTAACTTATTTCCGCGGAATGTTGCCGGTGGTGCTCCTGCCCGCTCCGGTCTCACCGTGCCCGTCCTCCCGCGGCTCCCGGGAAGGCGCTGGCGGCTCCTGCCTGCGTGGCCGAGCCGGCGGCGGGTGCCAATCTGTCCCTGTGCTCCCAGACTCTAGGTCACCTGGAGAAGGCTGTGGTTCTGGAGCTCACCTTGAAGCACGTGAAGGCACTGACCAATCTCATCGAGCAGCAGCAGCAGAAGATCATCGCTCTGCAGAACGGTTTGCAGGCGGGTGAGTGTTGAGCCGGCAGGGCGAGAGCCTCTGTGTGTGTGTGTGATGGGCTTTCCCTGGGGAGCCTGTGAAATGCGGTTGTGACACCTTGTTCCCGGGAAGGGAGGAGGCAGGAATCCTGGCCTTTCATGCTGTTATTTTCTCAGGCTTTGCTTGTGAGCTTTCACAAAAAAAGATGTATTGCTCAAGATGGTCAGTGCAGAGTGCCCTGGGAGTTGTTTGGAATTAAACTGAGTTTGAAGTAGTTTTAGTTACAGCCCAGGTTTGCTGTGAGGTTCTCTCTAAAGCCATTTGGTTCTCCCCATTTGTGTTTGTGAGCTTTAGATAACCCAGTCTGGTTTATTTGGCTGTTTTCTCTGGAAACAGATATAAATCTGCTTTCTATACACACCTTTTTAAGTTTCTTTATAACCGAGCTGGCCTGTGCTCTGCAGGCAGAGGGGACCTGGTGCTTCAGCTTATCAGCCTCAGATGCACTTCCTCCTGCTGATTTCACATGTGGCTCTCACGTGAATCGGATACAGCAAACCCGAATTTTTTGGAGGCACGGTCCGTGGCCCGGCAGCCACAGGGAGTGCAGTGGAGCTGCGGGAGCAGCCGCGTCCCCTGGGGCTGGCGGAGCTGCCGGCAGGGCTGGAGCTCCCTGCCCCGAGGTGCGCCCTGCCTTCCCCGGGGCTTTCCTGGAGAAGCCGCAGCTTGACTCACTCCCCTCTCCGCACTCCAGTACCTGCTGAAAGTGGATTTTACAGTAAATAGCAAAAACGAGCAGGCAACACTTTTACTTATTACATAAAAGTGGACAGGTGGATGTTCCAGTGAAATTGTCCTTTTCTGCAGAAATCTGGGGATTTCTGTTCATAGAGTTCAGCCTGGCCATCGTGTTCCCCTCTAGCTGTGCTGTAACCCAAGTCCAACATCGCCTCCGGCCCGCCTCGGAGCTGGAAATGGAACTATTTAGCATGTTGTTAATTTTTAATTTCTTTCTGTTAATGTTTCCTTAGGTGACCTGTCATCGAGAAACCTCGATTCCAGCCAGGAAATGTTTCGATCTGGTTTCCAGATGTGTGCCAAGGAAATGCTGCAATACCTGGCAAAGCACGAGAACGGCAAGGAGCTGAAGTCGTCGCAGCTGGTCAGCCACCTGCACCGGATGGCCAGCGAGGTGCTGCAGGGCGGGGCGGCCCGCAAGCCCGGGGACATCCCTCCCAAAATGCTGGACCTGAAGGAGAAGCCGGCGCCGCTGGGCGCGGCGGGCGAGGGCCACGGGAAGAACTGCGTGCCCGTGATCCAGCGGACATTCGCTCACTCTAGCGGGGAGCAGAGCGGCAGCGACACGGACACGGACAGCGGGTACGGGGGAGAGCTGGACAAAAGCGACTCCAAATCGGAACAGCCCTATTTCAAAAAGGATACCGACCTCAAGTACGCTGTCCAGGAGAGAATAAGCTCTATTAAGCAAGAGACTGAGGACCCGCCGGCCAAAAGGAGCAGGCTGGAGTCGCCGCAGGACGAGGGCCCTTTTGGCAGTGACGTGATGGGCCCTGCCGGCGGCTTCCTGGGCCCCCACGCTCACCAGCCTCCCCTGTGCCTGCCTTTCTACCTGATCCCGCCGTCCGCCACCGCCTACCTGCCCATGCTGGAGAAGTGCTGGTACCCGGCCTCGGTCCCCGTGCTGTACCCCAGCCTGCCGGCCTCTGCCGCGGCTCTGACGGGCTTCATGAACCCCGACAAAATCTCCCCCCCTCTGCTGATGCCCCAGAGACTCCCTTCTCCTGTACCGGCCCATTCCCCCATCGACTCGTCGGCTCTGCTTCAAGCTTTGAAGCAGATTCCTCCTTTGAACTTGGAAACCAAAGACTGAGCACAGTGTGACTGGTTTTACTTTTTTTCCTTTTTTGTTTTTTTTTTTTTTTTAGTTTGAGAGACTGTTTCACTTTTATATATTGGCTGGACTGAGGTGTGGGGACGAGGTTCACTGTGCGTAGGAAGCTAAATCCCCTTTTCTCTGACTTGTCAGGTAGCTTGGAGAAGGATGAAGGATGCGCCCAGGTTAGCGATTGACAGCTACTTCCAAAAGATTAAAGAAGGATTTTGTGCTTGGCCCCTTCCCTTCTTCCCTCTCCACATCTACAGAGCGACAGTTGACTCGGTCAGCTGCGACTCTATTGCAAAGCTGTGAAGAAATATTCCATTGGGCAGGCCTGGTTTGAGGGTCTGTGAATACAAAATAGATTAATATAAGCCACGGTACTTCCCTGAGCGCCTCTGGAGGCAGCGGCCCTGCTGGTTTATCTCAGCTGGGCTGCTGTCCCAGTGACCCCACAGGGTGATGGTGGCAATGCCACCGTGAGCACAGCAGGAGCAGGGCAGTGGTCACTGCAGGGGCAGCTATGTCACCAGGAGGAGCAGGGTAGTGGCCACTGAGGTGGTGGCAGTGGTGGCAATGCCGCCAGAAGGAGCAGGGCAGCGGTCACTGTGGTGTGGTGGGGGCAATGCCACCATGAGCACAGGAGGAGCAGGGCAGTGGTCGCTGCAGGGACAGCAATGTCACCAGGAGGAGCAGGGCAGCGGTCATTGTGCTGTAGTGGTGGCAATGCCACCGTGAGCACAGGAGGAGCAGGGCAGCGGTCACTGCCTGGTCACACACAGATCAGGCAGACAGACCCAAGACGGGTTTCTCTCCACACCTTTGCTGATACATAGACATTTTTTTACAAAAATAAAAGGTAGCTGCTGCTTGGAGCTTTCCATGGCGTACATCTAATAAATAAATTAACCTGCGCCCTTCCTGTAACTTGAGCTGCTCCGTTGGGCCGGCTCGGGAGGAGCTGTCCCGGGATGGCGGGGTCGGGAGGAGCCGTCCCGGGATGGAGGGGTTGGAAGGAGCCATCCCTAGGATGGCAGGGTTGGGAGGAGCTGTCCCGGGATGCCAGGTCGGGAGGAGCTGTGCTGTCCCCAGGGTCGCCTCTTGTGTCCCTGGCTCCTGCACTGCCGCTCCCCCGGAGTCCCCGCGGCTTTCCCGGCCGGAGGGAGCTGCAGCGCCATCCCTGCCCATCCCCGCTGAGCGCGCCCCTGGCAGTGCCCTGGGAGAGTGGCAAGGCTGGCATTGCCCAGCAGCCCGATCCCGGCAGGGCTGGAGCAGCCGGAGCCCTCCTGGCACACCTGGCTCGCGTCCCGCGTTAAGGGGAGAGGGGCCGGGTGGTGACGCTTGTCCTGTGAGCTGCAAGGGGCTTTCTCCGCAGAGGAACATCCTCTCCAGTTTAGCTTCTTTTTAATTAAAAACCCCCAAACTGCACTGCTAAAGGCGGTGCTCTTTGGTGGTTTTTTTCTTACTGGTTTTGAGAACTGGTGAGCAGAACCCCTGTCTGGATCCTCATGTTGCCCTCCCATTGCACCAGCTGTTGAGATGCACTATGCTTGATTGCAGATTGTGTTCTAACGTTTATTTTGTTGTTGGTTTTTTGGGTTTTTTTGGTATAAAGTCGTTGCCTTTATTTGTAAAATCCTGTTATAAATATATATATATATTATATAAATATATTAAAAGTTAAAACGTTTCAGATGTCTATTATTTGTATAACTACTTGAGCATAAAGAAGTGAGAAATATGAATGTATTCTTGTTTCTGGGTTGTCTTTTTTTTTGAAGAGAAGAATATTCCATTTTTCTCTCGGGAGAGGTACAGTGTTTATATTTTGGAGCCGCCTTCAAGGTGGGATATTGTACATATTTTTATCTTGAGTAAATGTTAAGTAGCTGTTTAAAAATGCTTAATAAAATAATTCTTTTCCTGTGGAAGATAAGGGTTTGCCTCCTTTGCTTTGAAATGTTTGAGCAGGGTCATTCCTCATGGTCTGGTCCCGCAGGGGATGGCACGGCGGGGGAGAGCAGGAATTTGGGGTGCAGGAGTGATGGGGGATCTCAGGGTGCAGGGAGGAGTGGGGATTTTGGGGTGCAGGGGGGAGCAGGGCTCTCCTTGCTCCCCCCTCAGCTCCTGTGCCGTAGGTTCCTGAAGGAGCTCAGGGTCCCATTACCCGTGTCACCGGGGATATTTATTTATTTTAACTCCCTTGGCACCTCCAGGGATTTTTTTCCTTCCAGACTCGAGGGAGGTGCCGGGAGAGCCTGGCTGCCTTTCCTGCTCTCTCCTGATGTCACGTTGTGCTCCCTGTGTCTGGCATTTGGCCCCTGGGCCCCAGGCTCCGTGGCAAGGAGGCAGCCCCTCACCCCGGAGCACGCAGGGAATCCAGAGGCTTTGCCCAGTTCCTGGAGGAAAATGGACTTGCTGCAAACCGGTTTTACTTCAGCACCCTGTGTCTGAGGTGCCCAAGCACTGCCAGGGACGGTGCCCACCAGCCCCTGGGGCTGAGGGGTGCCAGGGTCGCGTCCTGCCTTTGTGGAGTGATCCCTGCCGCCCCCACATGCCCCAGGTGCCCCCGATTTGGGAATTCCAGCTGGCACTGTGGGTGGGGGAGCAGCTGCTGCCTCCGTTCCCCGAGGGCAGGGTCCTCATCCCACCACGGCTCCCTCCCAGCAGCAATGCTGGCTTCTGGTCTCCAGATGAAATGACAACAGCCCCAAACCTCCCCCAAGGCAACGAGGGGTGAAACAAAGGGATGGGTGGGAGGACTCTGTTTCCCAGTGGCGCTGCCCGTGTGCGGATGGGCAGGGGCAGTTCTGAGGGGAGATTTGGGATTTTCACTGTGCAGATGAGTCACAAAACGTGGGGAGGGGTTTAAGTGTCCGACTGGGCCAGCACTGCTCAGGTCTGGGCTGAGCATCTCCAGGACCCCACACGGAGGGGCTGATGCTTCTGTTAGACTGTGGCTAGAACTAAAGAAACCTTAGCTTAAGTAATGCTGGAAAAAAGTGCTGCTTGGTTTAATGTGTTTGAAAAAAGTGCTGCTTGGTTTAATGTGTTTGGGGTCCACACACATCTCAGTGTTCATGCTATGTTTGCTTTAATTAGGGCTAAATATTGATCTTACTGAGGCTGGCTGTGACAACCCCATTTGGGGACAGCATTTGGTGCTCAGAGCAGAGGTGTCTCCAGCCTCAGGACCCCCTGGATTTCTGGCTCCTTTCCATGGCTCTCACTCCCCTTTGGTCCTCATATTCTGGCCCCCTTTTCCTGTGGTGGGACGACGTGCAGGACTTCCAGATCCTGAGTATCAGAGAAAAAAAAAAGCAGAAAAAGTGGAAGAGAGAACATTTACTCAGGAAGCCAAAGATTATTATGGGCTGGGAATTTTCTCTGCCTGTCTGGCCTGGTGCCAGCAGGACAGGTGAGTTCTGTGGGGCACAGTGGGGCAGGGGCTGCACCCGTGGTGGGGACCCCAACAGCCCCTTCAGCCCTGCCAGAGCTGCATCCTTGGGCTGTCCATCCCAGCCCGGCAGGATGGATGGATGGACGGATGGATGGATGGACGGATGGATGGATGGATGGATGGATGGACGGATGGATGGACGGATGCAGGGGCGACCCCGGCACGGTGCCAGCCCGGGACAGCCCGTGCCGCCCGCCCCGCCGGGGTGTGCTGAGTTCCCGGGCTTGTTTTCATGGTCTCACCCAGCTCTGACCTGCCTCAAATGTTGACACAATGTCACGTTTCCGACTGCAGTCTTTCATGTGCAGCCGGAGGCTAAATACGGCTGCTGGTTCCTGGAAAAAGACGTGCCTGGCACCCTTTCAGCAGAAACCCGATCCCCATGCAGGCTTGGCACAACAGCTGAATAACACGGCAATAACTCTTTCAGCAGCATTTCAACCCATAAATAGGGCTTCCCGAGCGACTCCTTGAAGTCAGACAAGGAGGATACAATGATTTTGGGCAAAAAATTAAAAATAAATGAAGTTAGTGTGCGTGAAGAGCGGCTGGGAGGGGGCAGCGGGGTCAGGCAGATCAGAGGGTGCTGTGGAGGTGCTGAGCGAGGTTTGCTGAGTGGGAGAGCAGGACTGCCTCAAAAGGAAAGAAATGCTCCTGAATTTTTTAATGTCTCGGTCCTGTTTCATACCAGCCCCGTGGAGGCACAGGGAGAGCCTTCCTGAGAGCCAGGGCCTTTCCTAACCCCGGTGAGGACACACAGACACATAATTTTAGCTTTTCACCACCTGTTTGGAAAGCTCCCGTAGCCGGGCGCTGTGGGACTGGATGGTTTTTACAGGCATGTACCCCGGGAGCTGCTTATTTGCATTATGCATGGACCAGGGCCTAAAATAATCTGCAGTGACGCACTTTTGTTTTTTGCTGCGATTCTCCCCCACCTCCCGTACCCCCCCATCCTTTTCCAGGGCTCCGTTTTTCTGAACGTGCCGTGACTTTTGGGGAGCGCGCGTGGCTGCCCAGCCCCGGGGCTGCCCGGCCTGATTCAGCAGCGGGGGAGCCGCCCCGGCCCCGACACACCGAGGGACAGGAGAGGAGAACAGAAGAGAGAAGTGCCCTTGTGCTCCGCCTCGGCTTTCATCTGCGGAGCGTGTAGCTGCAAGTGCGGCGTGTTTACAAATGCAGGCATTGCAAGATCCCTTGAACTGTGTCCTAGTACAAAAGAGGCTTTGAAACGAGAAACACGTTGTCATGGCATGTTCCAGGCCAGCAGCACCAGACTGAACCAGATAATTGCTGTTTCTGCTTCAGCGTGGAAAAAGCAGCAGGTCTTGAGCAAGTCCTTTTTTCCCCTTAGACATTTGGTGCGATGCTGGGGATGGGAGGAGAGGGCCGGGAATGCCCGGGCAGCGGGGGCAGAGCGGGCTGGGCTCCCCGGGCAGCCGGCACGATGACTCTGCTGGGCTCAGCCCGTGTAACCGTAGCCCGGGGCTGGTGACACCGACCCCGGCTATGTGACACGGGCTGTCCGTGTTTTGTAACGCTGGCGCGCTGCCGGGGCCGGGAGATGCGGCTCCCGCTGCTCCCTCGTGTTCCAGACCTTTCGCACTGCCCTTCTGCGAGCGGTTCAGGGCACTCGAGAGCTCTCCCGGTGCCTCCCGGTGCCAGGAGAGCTGATGATTGCAGTGGGCACTGCTGGCCCTGGGCACGGCAGCTCTGCCTTGGGAGCGCTGGGCACGGCTCAGGGCGCCTGTGCCCTCCCTCCCGGGGGTAAGAAATGGAGGGTAATATTTCTACCTGTTTTGGAATTATTGATTTCTTAGACACGTGTCTTTGTCGCAGGTGTGTTTCTGCCCCAGGCACATCACCCCGTGGATGTTATATCACAGTTATATCACAGCCAGGGCCTTTGGAAATGGCCAAACAGGAAAGCTCTGCACGGGAAGGGTTTTTCGCCACATGTGCCCTGTTAAAGCTGCAAACGGGGCAGGCTGGGTAACACCACACAGCTGATGGAAACAGGAATGCCTGGAAATAAAAGGCAGCTCCCGCAGCTCCTTTCGTGTCTGCTGCTGTCCTTGGGCTGCTGGGAGCTGCCTGGGCTCTGTCCCGGGCTGGGTGCCCCTGGCATCCAGCTCCTCGCACCCACACAGGGGCAGGCCCGGCTGAGCAGGTGGGTGCTTGCTCTGCATGGACCCTCAGCCCTACCCGTGTCCATGGGTGACCCTCTGTGGGGTGCCAGTGCTGATGGGACAGGGCTGGCTTCCCAGTTCAGCCCTGGCCTTGCCCCCAGTGCTGCTTTCCTCCTCTCTGACCTCTGCTCTTTATTCCAGTACCCAGGAGGGGCTCTCACGTTGTTGATTTCTGAGCACCAGCTCAGCCCGAGGATGATGCCCACAGTCTGTGCTGCCAGAGCTGTTGCACCAGAGGAATAATTAGCTTCTCTCTGGAGCACAGCTTTATCCTCCCTTCAGCCCCTGAAGTGCAGCAGCTCTGCCTCCTCTCCGGTCACCTCTGTGCCATGAGAGAGAGAAGAGCCGGAGCTCTACCCTGCTTTGAAAGGACTGATGAATATGCAAACTCTCAGGGCTGGAATATTGCTTATCCACGTCACGGGGTGTGCACGGAGCTCTGCTTGTGCTGCTGCTGAGGATGTGGACACCACCGGAGTGCAGCTG